GATCCATGGCAGACCAATTCAAAAGATTGCTATACTCACGCCTTGATAAGATCCATGTGGCTCAAATAAAAAGTTTCCAAGACTGAAAGCTGTCAAAAAGGATTTGGTAGCTGTGTGACCTTGCAGAACGTGAGGATGGCTACCAATGATCAAATGAACACCCAAGTTTTTCAGGTGAACATAGTGATGTAATTGGGTTTCGGTTAAATTTGTGTAATATTCTTTCCCCCAGTGCATGGAGACGACCACAATATCTACATTTTTCTAAGAGAAGTCAAAGATAGTGAATGATCAGCAATGTATTTGCTATAATTCAGTTTTGAAGCTTTTAAGTTCTAAAGATGTAAAGGATGTTCTAATTTCCGCTCGACAAGAAAATACAAACATTAATAACTCTAATTAATTAGTCAGTCCAATTGCCAAAAATGACTAGATTTCTCTAGAGGAATAGACCACTTTCATAAGTGCCCACCATTGATTTTATGCAATTTATAATATTATGGATACATTCAACACTGTCATATGAAAGACCTATTAGAAATTCATTATTTTCATGGAAAGTTTTAAAGCCATGAACTAAATACTAACAAAGTTATGGAGAAATAAAAAAACATGGATTTGTATGAATTCTTTGCTGGTGACTGGTAAGCCTCGTTTTGGTGTTTTCGTACTTCTTCTATCCCTTATAACTTCAAGTTAGTTACAGATGACTGGCAAGCGCTTGATTAAAATTCGAAAAAATGGCTTTCAAAAGCATCGTCRCTAAAAAACCGTATATTCTGTGTTATTGTTAAAACTTTTAAAAGGCGAGTATTCAAACAAATAGGCTCAAACTTGTAAATAACACTAACTGTAGTATGTTCTTTCATGTGACAAGGTCCCGTTTTCGATTATAAGTGGCGTATTTTCATACTCGTTCCAAGATTCATTTTTTTAATCTCGGAAAGTCCAACTGACCACGTGTCTTACCTTCAGTGCTGTGACATCTCGAGATGCATTCTCATCAGTGTAAATGGCAGGACCAAGCGTGCCATTTCCTTGACGAATGATACAGGTATAATGAAATGTTTCAAGATTTTTAACTTTAAATATGTCGCAGTATCCCAGGAAACCAATTTTGATGCCTCTGACGTTAACAATAAGCGGGATCTACAATCAATATAAAAATTAGGTAACACCTAATAGCGGAGCTCCAATAGCAATACAGAAGCTGAAAATGATTATCTAGTACTACTATTTCAAAGATAGAGACTCTGTTCTAAGGAATGTAAGTTAACAACAGTTTTGTTGACAGTTCAGTTCAGTTTAGTTTATTGCACTTTTCTTTTTCAATTACTTCTTGTTTATCAATTTTAGCTTAAGAAAGAGTATGTTTATGAGAATTTAGTTCTTACTTAAGCTTATCAGTATTGACTACACATTGGACAATTATAAATATAAATAGTAAACATGAAAACTTTACCATTATCTGTCTTTTTTACTAAACCTGTCATTTCCAACAATCTGAATTTAGTCACAGCTTGACAATCTGAACGGGTGGGATAGCCTATCGTTACCTGTGGCCTATTTTCTTTGATAGTTCCAGACGTATATCCAAATGTCTTGATCCCGATTTTGTTGAGAAGGTTAACAGTAAATTTAATAGGTTTTTCTTTGAAGTCAGTCAAATGGTTGTTGTTTAAACCAAGTATATTAAAACCTGCATATCTGAAAAATAAACAATTATTAAGTATTCAATTCATTTGAATGTTAACAAAGGCAATCGAATAATTGCAATAGTAAAGTACTTTATTTTCAACCTCGTTCCCAGGCCCTTATTCTAAACCAAGGAGTAAGTTTTTAAAGTGGCATTAATAACAATATATTATTGCACACAGGTCACCCAGGCATTCTTTTGATTAATGTGTTCATCAAGTTACATAATGACAGTAAATCCAGTTAATAACGATACAATTTTGGAAGTAAAAAATAATTGTTGAGTTTGCACATCATCGACTCCAGCAGAGGTTAGAGGAATTAAAGGAGGTTTCTTAAGAAGTTAAGCCTGAACTTACTTTAAACTGTATGCACTCTCTGGCTTACTTCTTAGTCTGGGATAATATTCTTTGCTTTCATATTTTTCCATGTCCTCAGTAACAAAAGGCGCTTCAAGGTTGCCAATGGTTAGGTCTGATTGCTGAAGATGTGGAGCAACTAGTTCGAAGGTTTGGTTGTAAGAACAATATGCATGCTTGTCTTGGTAAAAGATAACACCATCAGGAGCAATATCACCCACAAAAACAAGTGTAACTGATGTGTCTTTAAAAAGGTAAATGTTGAACAATGTTAAAAAAAATATTTTTTATATATATACAATAGTGAATAAAGAAACAAGGAAGATATCTTGAAATACTTTTATAAAATGAAAACAACTCCATAAGAGCATATAAACACGAAAAACATTACAATTTTCTCGTTATGTAATGGATAGTAAATCTATAAAATCTTCGTTTGAAATATACGTACTTTAACGAAAGTTTATTCAAGCATCATGGCCGCCGCTGTAGCATCTCAAATGAATAATTTAAAGTACCATATCGAATAATGAAGTCACAAGATGTTTACAAATGGAAGTGCACAGAAATACTGGGAATTGGATCGGACCTACTAATATTCTCTCGATTATATCTTGTTTGATACCATACATCAAATTGTTCATTATTATGCCCTCCTCTTGCGACCAAAATTCTTAGCGTTAAAACAATAGAATGTTTATTTATGTGACGTAGTTATGCATAGGGCAATTGTAATTGAAATTCATTGTACCTTTTGATAATATCAAGGAACAACTTGACAGCAACGTTAATATAAGCAAATTGAAATCTTGATGTCCTCTTTTCATGGCCCCTATGGAAGAAAAGTTTATTTTGTAGAACTGATTTCTTACATTAATAATATACATGAAAAAATTACTCAATTCTGATTGGCTGATAACATCTCAATTAATTCTTAATTCAGTGCAATTACATTTCTGCAGTGCAATTACAACAGATTGAACAGTGCGAAAAGCTGTAATATCAGCGCAATTACAATCAAATTTGCGCTTTTGATTGGCTAAGAAACAAAAGAAATGTTTCCAGCCAATAAGAATCAAGCTTTCTTTGTAACTAAAAACTTTTCTCAAGAATCCAAGATGGCGGACACTTCGCCGATAACAGAGAAAAAAGTACTCAAAAACTATCAACAACTGCTTAAAAGAAATAACAAAAGCTTTCTCACTGAAGAATTGGACTAGGATTTTGCATTTGTGAAGTTTCAAGCTGGCTAGTTGCCATTTCAAGACGATTTTGCATCGAAAATAGTCTCGCCTACCTCACCCCGTCCAGCTCGATGGATTTCAGTACAATTTCAACGTGAAACCAGCTCAAATACTGGCTTTTTTACACATAAGCCAGCAAAAGGTATTTTTCTGTTTAAGTGACAATATTTTTACTGTTCAAATTCAAATAAATTCACTTTAAAATGGAGTAAATCATGTTTTTTTATCATTAAAAATGACAAAGTACAAGTTTTGAAATTGAACTTTGTTTTGCTTCAATATTTTGAACTCTTTTGTACAAAAGAAAGCCTAATATGTTATAAACTGTTTTTTTGTTGTTGCTAGCTTTGATAGTAAGACAAGTGTAATAATTGTTTGTCAAGAAGAAAATAAAAAGACTTAGTATGCATTGATGATATTTTGCTTACATGTTGTTTTTATCGTTGGCTCCTTGTCTAGCCTTGTTAGTTGTATATTATTAATAAATAATAAGATGGTTTCGAGTTCAATTTGGATTAATTTGCACTCGTTTGTTTTTCAAAGAGCCAAATTGCGTTCGGCCTACGGCCTCACGGCATTTATGGCCTCTTTGAAAAACAAACTCGTGCAAATTAATTCCAAATTGAACTCGAAACCATCTTATTACCTATTCTAATAACTACGAAGAATGTGTGCTCGGTATCGATGTTCAGTCTGGCAACAAAAACTCAACAAAGTTGGTCCAAAATAAAAAAAATGGAAATTCCTACAAAACGGCGATGCTGCTTGCGTTTGCAGATAAACAATATTCATAGTCAAACGATCAAACCATTTGTAGAGGTGGTGGTAAGAAGGTCGCGGCAAACTTAATTGGAATCGATTCTGACGGCTTTTCATCATGCAAACATTCCATTCATATAGATTCCACGTCCAAATTACATTCGCTAATTTTTTGACATCCCCTTTTATTTTCACTTGAAAATCATCTTTACTTTGAAACTGTTTTCGTTTGACAAATTCCTTAGTGAAATGCAAGTTTTAAAATATTATCGAGCTACGTTTTGAATATTTTTAAATTAAATGTCAATAGAACCTGCGTAGTACCAGAAAAAACAAGCATGACTCCAAAGAGATATAACACCCCGGATARCTGTTCAGTACGATCCCAGTTTATAAAAAAAATAACAGCGAAACAGCAGTCTTTCCACAGACAAAATCATTTGTCATGCCTTTATTTTTTTGGTGACTTTTTTTTTCAAATATATGGCGGCCGTGCTCTTTATAGACTTTATACATATGGCTGTTGAAACGCTTATTGGCGGCAAAACTTCAAACTCACTCTATTGTTGATTTTCATATTAATCAACTGCAGTGCTGTTGAAACAGACAATAAATGAACAATGATGAGTTAAAGAATACTGAAGAGTGCTGTGAATCTTTTGAGCAGTATACTGCACGTTCGGTTAATTTTGTGACGTTGATTACATTATTTGATCTACCAGTCAGAAACTGGAAACTGAAATTGCAACTAGCTATTGTTGTTTACAAAAAACTAAATCTGATGGTCGTTTTATTGTTACCAACTTGATTATTACTTTTTTTCTTTCTTTCCTTATGTTCTTTCGTTGAAAATATTATTTTCCAAATTTGATTAATTAATAAAAGCTGTATCTGGCTTTAATATCACTAAGGAAGAAAATTCTATGAAGCTTAAAAATAGAATAGTCAAAGTGGTATAGAATAGCTATGAAAAACCCCAAGGTTTTCATGATAAATTCATTGGTATTAGTGTAAAAGCGATTGTCCATATATATTTGATTCATATCCAGTCGGTGCTCAAACTGGTGCCCTCATATTTCTTAAATTGTTTTGGTTGACAACAATACCCATTTCACCATATTTCTAGTTCAAAGTCGGTAGTTGAGATAGTTTGACTTTTCATTTTATCCTGGATTTTTAAGTGGTATTGGTGTTATCTGTATTGTCAAACGTTTGAAGGTTTGAAGGAAAAGCCGGTAGWACGGTTCAAAATTTTCGAATATGCTCAAACTAATTAGGACTTCTTATAAAATATAAAGCTATTTTAAAATCATCACTATACTTACTAACTCGCGAAAACTCAGTTGACAGTCTTGACTTATCCACGTTTCTTATAGGAATTTTATTTTCAGAATCGTCGACCCATTCTAGAAAGTTTTTTTAAAAACTGATTAATTATAAATGAGTTATGTGTACCCAGGTGCGGGTCGTACTTGATTTCAGTGTTGCTAGTAACTTGTCCGAGACTGAATGCATAGAGCAGACTCACTTGATCAGCGAGATTGGCCGTTTTTATACTAGAAGACGGCTAAGACGTCTAGATGGCCTTAACAGTTAATAATAAGGGCGTCTAGCCATAAATCGAGATGACCTTAYTGAGATCTGAACAGAACGGTTGAGAGGGGTCTCGTGCGAGTATGACATCATAAGCGCGGGAATTCGATAGGTACTTTTTTGTTTGGGTACGAGATTGTAGTTTAGCAAGATGGAAATATTCCTAGTTTTTTTGGAAAAAATATCGAAACGTAGAATAGAAAAGCAAGACCTACTGCTCCATATGTGCTCAGAAAGACGAAAGAGGTCAAGAAAATGTATTGAAACTGAAATGGAAGGTTAAATGTTGGCTTCCCAAGTGGCGACCGCCATAAGTGGCATTTTACTAAAGAAACCTCATCCGACCATTTTCTTCACCTTTTTGCTGAGTTTGGCTTTTGATTGGCCGCCATATTTAAACTCATTACCGGTCCACACTTGGCTTTTACACGTGAGACCTCGCTTTCATGTTGGCAAGGGTGTCTGTTTTTGGTCGTCTGGACTTTATGCTTGACAGCCAAGCCCTTTGCTCGACGATAAGGGCATGGTTTCGATGTCCTTAATTTTAGACGCCGTCAGACGCCTAAGTTGTCAGCATTTTTTTTTCGATTTTATACTTAAAGTTTAGGACTTCTTTGAAGCCTAAGGTCATTTAGCCGTCTCTAGTATAAAACACGGCCGTTTACATAGTACAAAATTTCTTTTTCCTGCTAATTCCTTTGTTTCCTATTGTCTTCAATCAACACTAATTAGTAGTAATTAGTACTACTTAGTTCACGGATTAGAGTGGTTTTCAAAAACCCGTGAACAAAGTGTAATAATTAGAGTGTAATAGATCGTAATAGTCGCGTAGAGACAATAAAACAAAAGAGTCAAAGTGTAATAGCGATGAATACGCTAAAGTGTGTTTCACGGGTTAATGAAAACCACTCTAAAGTGGAGTCAAAAATACATATTAGAGTGAGGTCATAAAACCCTTACAAGACTATTCCATTGTGATAGTCAAATAGACAAAAGGCCAACAATGCAATTAGTACAAAATATTTTGGCTCCGGCGGCCCTGGAATTAATGAGAGGGAAAAATAACAAAAGCAAAATACTAATTATTATTATTATTATTATTTTAATTCCAATTATTGTGAATAAATACTTAGTAAATCAAGCACTGTATACAATAAAATGATTTGAAATCCTCCACTGATATATTTACAAATTAGCCGTGAAATCTTGACCTATTCGTTGCGATAACAAAAAGCTCATCTTAAATGTACCACACCTTCAAGCTCATGATTTTGTCTACTGGACCAAAATCCATGTTATACAACTATTGTTTGATGGTTTTCTTCGATAAATTTTTTCTGTGATTCGTGCCCATGGTAATTTACACCACAGGAATCCTTCAAACCTCGACCGACTCCAGTTGATCAAAGCCGGGTTCAAATCGGTGAACGTCGTTGTCATGGTAATGTGCTTGGTCTTCGATGATGTAGTTGCCATAAGCAYGCACTTGATCAGAGTATCTCTTTGGTTGATGACCTACGTCATGAAAGCTTAAATTATGGAATTCATAATCACGTGACGCTGTATGATCGGTTTGATAATAGGCAACATCTTCACCTTCTGAGGCGTAAGAGCTTCGGCTACCTATAAAGAACATAGTGTAAAATGAATGGGTTATTTAAACGATATATGAACTTTGGGCTTATGCACGAGAAAGTGATCTATTTTATATACAATCGCGAAAGGACGGAGTGTTAATACAGAAAAACAGTGATCACGTGATCAGTTTTGCCGTAAACGCGTATCTAAAACTCTCTAATATCTTGAAAATATCTGTCAGTTCATTGTATTTAGCGTGTTAATTCTCCGTCGAACTACATACCAAACTCAAAGTAATTTTATGCGAGATGAATGCAAGAACTGCAATGGCAAGAAGCCGTATGAAAATATTCCAAAAGCCACAAATAAACACGCCATTCGAATAAATTCCATGAAATGATTGCGAGACAACCTATTTTACACCTGGCAAAAATCGGAAATTTTGCTTCATTTCGGAATCTGTGTTTTTTGCTAAAAACATATCTTCACATTAATATTACCTTTACATGGATTCCTTTTATGTAAGTACCAACCGGTCAGTCCAACTAAGGTCAAAAATAGCACTGCACCAATCACAATGCCTGTTATTTCCACCGGTGAAAGTGTTTTTTCTGTTTCCATGGGTGGTGGTAAAGTTAGAACTCCTGTTAGACAAAAGTAAAGATAAGAAATAGAAAAAGAGACAAACAAAAATGTAAGAGCATGTGATAAGAGAGATCAACAACAAAAATAGTAGCGAAATCAAACGAAACAAACCTGAAATACATTGCGCAGTGTTTCGGTTATACTCGAATCCATCTCTACACGGACAGGTATAAGAACCCTCCTTGTTAATGCATATTGAACCCGCACGACAACTATGACTTCTCTCTAAACATTCGTTGATGTCTGGAATAAACAAATAAACTGAATCAATAGAGCATGTGATAAATAATCCATTTTTCGAATTCTCGAATGCTCTACCTCATTAGTGTGCACAAAATATTCCTAATTGCGCGTGAGAATAAAAGTGTGAGATTTCACACTTGTTTAAACTACTGTATTTCTTTTCAAAGTTCATGCGTTTTCTCGGGCTACAAATAAAACAAAATAATATTTTACTTGGTTTTGAGGCTAACAGAGAGCAAACCAGAACTCCAAATTGGAGTATTACAAACTGTAAAATGAGACGATGCACACCGTTATCCCTTCTTTATATTTCTTCAAATATATTTATGAAGGAAAGAGTAAGACAAAATGAACGAATAGGAAGCAAAAAAAATAGGACAAAAGTCGCCTTCGACTCGAATCTTAATACCAAATAAAAAACTACTGCTCGTTTATTGAACAGTACATAAAGACAACATCAAGGTCATTGGTATTTATCGTGTTTTAAATTTATTTGCAAGAACATTCAACGTAAAGCTCCAAATCTCCTGAACACCGTCAAAAACAACATTTAAGAGTGAGTATCCGTAACGATCAAACAAAATCGAAAATCCGTGGCAACGGCTGAAAAATCGATTTCGCTCATATTTTGTAGGTWGGTYYAGGAATGTTTCCTAAGAATCCCTATGTATTTGGTTTGCTTCAATTTTGCAATAAAACCGAGAAAATCGACTTTTTCTAGAGACACCTCGAAATGTTGATATTCGCTGTCGATTTTGGCTCGACTTTATGAAGCTCTAAATAAACACCAAGTAACGCAAACAGAAAAATACCTTTGAGCCCTTGTAACACCACACTTTGTTTATAAATAGCGTGACTTTGAGCGTGGTTAACGGATTAAAACATATTGAAATCGTTATTTTCCCTAGAGATGTATTTTAAGTCGCAAAAAGTAGGGTGTACAAACTGGCTAACTGTGAATTTGCGAAACCTTTAAAGCTCATGAAATCTGGATATTTTGTAGTTCTAACAATGTACTTTAAGAAGTTTGAATCAAATCTTTGGGCAATTGTTTTGAAGTACGCGAAAAAGCTCTCATATGTCACATAAACTTGACCTTTGGCGCAAACGGCCAAACAATAAATACAATGAATATAACACTGTCGAGCCAAATATTTGGCACACAAATCGGTAACAATCATTTGCAAACCTGTAAAATATAAGTTCTTAATTAAGTCTTACCTTTGGATGAAGAAAAGAGCGAAAATTCGATTATATTTTAGCCCTCGAAACAAGCTTGTCACTTCATGTTCTGGAAACTGTCACACTGAATACGTAATTAGACACAGGTAGCCCAGTAATTCAGCCCTAATATAAAAATTAGGTAACACCTAATAGCGGAGCTCCAATAGAGGGTCTCAATGGGGTTAACCGTGAGCCGTGAAACGGCTAAAACATTAGCCGTGAATCGTAAAAATGAGAAAAATTAGCCGTGAAACGGCTGAAAAATTAGCCGTGAGTCGTGGAAATNAAATGTTGATATTCGCTGTCGATTTTGGCTCGACTTTATGAAGCTCTAAATAAACACCAAGTAACGCAAACAGAAAAATACCTTTGAGCCCTTGTAACACCACACTTTGTTTATAAATAGCGTGACTTTGAGCGTGGTTAACGGATTAAAACATATTGAAATCGTTATTTTCCCTAGAGATGTATTTTAAGTCGCAAAAAGTAGGGTGTACAAACTGGCTAACTGTGAATTTGCGAAACCTTTAAAGCTCATGAAATCTGGATATTTTGTAGTTCTAACAATGTACTTTAAGAAGTTTGAATCAAATCTTTGGGCAATTGTTTTGAAGTACGCGAAAAAGCTCTCATATGTCACATAAACTTGACCTTTGGCGCAAACGGCCAAACAATAAATACAATGAATATAACACTGTCGAGCCAAACATTTGGCACACAAATCGGTAACAATCATTTGCAAACCTGTAAAATATAAGTTCTTAATTAAGTCTTACCTTTGGATGAAGAAAAGAGCGAAAATTCGATTATATTTTAGCCCTCGAAACAAGCTTGTCACTTCATGTTCTGGAAACTGTCACACTGAATACGTAATTAGACACAGGTAGCCCAGTAATTCAGCCCTAATATAAAAATTAGGTAACACCTAATAGCGGAGCTCCAATAGAGGGTCTCAATGGGGTTAACCGTGAGCCGTGAAACGGCTAAAACATTAGCCGTGAATCGTAAAAATGAGAAAAATTAGCCGTGAAACGGCTGAAAAATTAGCCGTGAGTCGTGGAAATGTGAAAAAAATTAGCCGTGAGGCGTGAAAAAGCCAAATTTTTAGCCGTGAGTCGTGATGCGGACCCCCCCATTGAGACCCTCCCAATAGCAATATAAAAGCTGAAAATGATTATCTAGTACTGCTATTTCAAAGGTAGATGCTCTGTTCTAAGGAATGTGAGCTACAACAGTTTTGTTGACATGCGAACAAATATTATAAAGAGTACTATGAGAATTTAGTTCGTACTAATATTGACTTCGGTAGATTTTGTTCCGTTGGATGAAGTTTAATATTATAATCTATAAAGGTCAATTGATTAAAAGTAAACTGAAAGCTTCTCGGCAAAAAGTAGTCTACGTAAGCTTACAATAATCAACATTGTTTCAATAATCGATGTTTGAAACCGGACTACTCGAACTTCACATATCACAGAAAACTGTATACAAAAATATATTTTTTACCTTCACTATCGAACTTCCGATAAATTATCGTTCAAAGGTCATCTTCAACAGAGCCATACTTGTTTCAAGCATAGGTTTCTTCATAGTTTATTAAGTCATTCAAGACTGTAGATTCTTTATTTTAATCTCTCAATCTAACGAAATGTCCACATTTTTAGTCGACAAAAGAACTTCGCATAGATCCCTGCTTTTTCCCATATTGGTCCATATTATTGAAGTATTTCCCAATAAAGTATCATCTCTTTCTTGTTGTCGAAATATCAAAGTAAAATCCTTTTTTCTAATGTCACTTTTAAGATGGGCCTAAATTGCTTTTCATCTCCCGGATGTGCGGACGCGTCGAAGTTATGACAAAATTGGCGGGAATATTTCTGTGCTGTTATTTTTCGCTCTTCAGTGGATTTTTTCCTTGTGATTAATTGTTCTAATATTATCAATATGTAATATAAATGTTTAAGGAAAACATTTCGATTTTTCAACAAATACTTGGCGCTAGCTTTGTTTCCTTTTCGAGCGGAGTATGGGTTTCCTGTGGTGGTACACGGAATCCAGGACGGAAGGAAACGTGCGTACGCGCGGGAGCCCTGTGTCGGTCCATGGAAAATCGACTCGATGGTATACCATTTTTTCTTAGCTATGGTGCTCCGCTCGCGCGGGCCTTCGGCCCGCGTGGGAGCTCCGCTATAATTTTACGGTTTAGAAAACTGACGTGCACATACAAAATATTTTAATATTAAAAATGTTCGAATTGGTGCATTTTCATGAGTTATAACTCATGCTTTTTTGACCAAGAATGGTGCGCAAAATGGTCTCCAGCCAATGTGGACATTTTCGTGGGCTATAGCCAATGCTTTGGACTAAAACCATTTTTGGGTATTTTCAAAGACTAACCCGTGTTTTTTGGCCCGGCCATTTTCATGGGCGTTTTGGTCCAAAATGGTCTCAAGCTATTTTTATGGGCAGTAGCCAATGCGTTTTGGCGCCATTTCGCCATTTCGCCATTTCGCAGATATTGAAACTGTCATATGTTAGAGGGTGTTTTGATAGCATCTCATTCATTACTTCCTCACGCATTTCTTCCAATTCTCGTTCATTCATTTCAGTTAGAAGATCTTCCAGGTCGTCATCATATTCATCGCCATTATTCTCGCTAGGTGTGGTGTGAAGAGATTTCTTTGAAGACAAACGAGAGAAAAATCCTGCGATTTGTTTTGACGTTAGATATTCATTCGATTTGAACAATAAGGAGCATCCGTGCTTCGTGCTTTTCGCATTTGTTTGGCTACACTCTCTGGATCCGCCTTTCTGCCAGTTTTCTCTCTCAAATTGAATATAGCCTGTGTACATCCATTTCTCACCCCTCCAAAAAAATGAGAAACGGATGTACACAGGCTAAATTGAATACATCTGTCATATATTTTTTTTGCTGATCTGTAATAAATCGGCGCCGTCCAGCTAAGTATTGCTTGACATAACAACCCCTTCCACACAGGAATCACCACTCTCCAGGAGCTCAGCATATTTANCAAATGATTGTTACCGATTTGTGTGCCAAATATTTGGCTCGACAGTGTTATATTCATTGTATTTATTGTTTGGCCGTTTGCGCCAAAGGTCAAGTTTATGTGACATATGAGAGCTTTTTCGCGTACTTCAAAACAATTGCCCAAAGATTTGATTCAAACTTCTTAAAGTACATTGTTAGAACTACAAAATATCCAGATTTCATGAGCTTTAAAGGTTTCGCAAATTCACAGTTAGCCAGTTTGTACACCCTACTTTTTGCGACTTAAAATACATCTCTAGGGAAAATAACGATTTCAATATGTTTTAATCCGTTAACCACGCTCAAAGTCACGCTATTTATAAACAAAGTGTGGTGTTACAAGGGCTCAAAGGTATTTTTCTGTTTGCGTTACTTGGTGTTTATTTAGAGCTTCATAAAGTCGAGCCAAAATCGACAGCGAATATCAACATTTCGAGGTGTCTCTAGAAAAAGTCGATTTTCTCGGTTTTATTGCYAAATTGAAGCAAACCAAATACATAGGGATTCTTAGGAAACATTCCTCTACCAACCTACAAAATGTGAGCGAAATCGATTTTTCAGCCATTGCCAACATTTGTTCGATCTTTACGGACATCCACTCTTAATTCGCCATTTTCTAAAGTTTTGAATTACAATTATTCACTGGGAATTTAAAGAAAAAACATTTTATGCAAATGACTTTGTTGTTGTCTTGATGTCTTTACAACTGAACAACGTTAATGGCATTGACTGTAAATGTATATAGGGTCTTATCATAAACGATACATACCAGAACAGCTAACTCCATTGCCACGGAATCCCTTTATGCATTGACATATAAACGACCCGTTAGAGTTGGTGCACTCAGCTTTGGCATGGCAATTATGTTTTGTCAGTGCACATTCGTCGATATCTAAAAACATTCAAACACTCTTAGATGTGAAAGGCTTTCACATTGCCACGGCGAGTGCTAAAGTATACGGGAGTCAAAATGGTACAAGCCTTGTTGTAGACAAGACAAGATTTGTACAGACAAATTGGAAGTCGTGTATTTGTAAAGGGCATTTAATTATGATTAATGATTAGTTTTATCAACGATCATCACTGAGTAGCATGTAGGCATTCTGTCTGCGCATGCGTGTGTCACTAAAGCGTCTTCGAGAATGGTCGCCATTTTCTTTGGAACATGTTCTTTTTCGGGTTTTTGCTAGACTAGATCGCAAGGTTTAACACAGACTTTGAGTTGTAATAATTTCAATTAGAACCGAGAGTATACACGAATGAATACACTGGCTATTCTTGATGTATTCCTAGGCTTTATATTTCGGTACATATATTTCGTGAAATGATCTGAAAATAACGAAATTCATTGAACATATGGTTGTCTTTGTTTTGATTTTGCCTGCTGTTCAATTCAGATTTTCTACCTTACAAGATATGGAGGTGAGTATTTATCTAATGAAGTTTCAATGTTGCCAAAACCAATCTTTACTTCAGTGCCGATCAACCTTTGCTAATGCTTGCTTTTGTATGTGAAAATTAAAACAGTGCTGCTATTTACCCAACTTCAGCGCCATTTAGCACGAAAATCTTACTTTTGCCCGCGAATAAAAACAGCACTGAGTGAATATTTTACTTCAAATAAATTCAGAAATGAAGTCATTTTTAAAATAAAAATTGCGTGGTTCGACGTTGTAGCTCTGTAGTCATCCCTCGTCGAAGGATGCCGTCTCGTCGAGGTTTTAGCCATTTATAACTTTAATTACGGGTACCTCATATTTTCAAGTCTCTGGTCGACAACATTACTAGAGAAGGTAAATGGAGTGTTTTTCTTTCAATGTATTTTTTCTCGTGAAACCATTCTTTCAACTTTGAATGAGAATTTCAATACAAACGTTGTCACTCGCATTGTTCTTGCTTTCAATATATTAAAATAACTTTCTATTTCTACTATCGCCCGTGCTTGTGTTTATCATCATTTTAAAGCTAAGAAGCTTTAAAATCGGCTGGGTATAGTTAAATTATTGAATGAATTGCGTGCGCTTGTGTAAAGCATTTCCAATATGTGTGGCTGAGTGACTATGTTGTTAATGGTGTAAATTCGTCGACATAAGACCAAACATTTATAAAAAGCACTTGACTGATTTTTTTCCCCACAAATTACACAATAGACTGATTCCACCAGTCTGTCAGGTGGCTCCTTTTTTCGCTCCCGGACAAAAATCTTTCTAGCAGTTTGAGCGACAAACCGAAAAATAGAGGAGCGAATACTACGACTTATGGAATAAGTCTACTATTCTTTGACCTAACACACTCGGTAGAAATTATAAAGAATGAAAGCGAAGCAAGAAAGAGAACACTGCGAATTGAGACCGCCATGAATATTTTTTTGTTTGCCTTACTGCTCATCTGCTGGCGGGTAAGCGACGCGGCCGTCCATGACGGGCTCATACCAGCGGTTAGTACCACTAATGTTTTTTTTTTTCGCGCGCGTGCGTAGACAAAATGCCAAGATGCTTCACTGAGTATGTTGCATACAACATATTATATATACATACAAACAACGCGATTTGGATAATCAGAAATTAGTTTTTTATGGACAATGAATAGCATGAATAGTCCAAATTAGATAGCACCCATTCACCGAGACACCCTTAAGCTTACGTATAGTTACCGGTGCAGTTGTTGTGCGATCCAACATAACCCGTTTTACAAGGACAACTGAACGATCCTGGTGTGTTCAAACAGATAGTAGTATTGGGATGGCAATTGTGATTATTGGTCAGGCATTCATCCACATCTAAAGGAATAAAATACAATATGGAAATGTGAAAACGTTTTTCCTGTCCGTCTGTCTTTGTGCCTATCCTTACGTGATTCTTTGCAGAGACTGGTCCAGACTCACTAGCCACTCATAAATTTTTTCGAATGATTAAAAAAGAGCTACCTTTCTCGTTCACTTTCTTTAACGTCTCTTCTGCTACATCTTATAAGCTGAAATTATCACATTCACAAGCTCAGAGGTACTATTTTTATTTTTGGAGTTTCATTTCTACATCTCCTAGATTCAGGATAGAAGTATTCACGTGATTTTGGAGCTAATAGAAATTCCAGTAATATACCTGAGCAGCTTTGGCCGTTTCCTTGATACCCTTTATTGCAGGTACATGAAAAGAACCCTTTCTTGTTATCACATCTGGCTGTCTTGATGCAAGGCAATATGTTCATCGATTTGTTGGCACATTTGTCTATGTCTGAAACGAAACACCATGTCATAGAGATATCAAATTAAGAAAAGAAAATAATTTAATAATAAGTAAACTAAATAAAGAATATGATTAAAAGGAAGTAAAAAAGTAAATAATTCACTTTTTAAAACATCAGAAAGGAAAAGTGTCAAGAGCAGAGAGGAATGTAAAGAAAAGTAAAAAGATGACTACTATCAAATAAGAGAAGTGAAAGGGTAGAATGTTTATACACACCTGAGGTGTTAAAGCTAATCTGCAATCCAGTGTATATGTTTCTCTTTTCAATCACCATGGATACTCTCATTGGTCCCTTTATCGTGATATTTGTGAAGTTTGCATATCGACATAAGGTCAGAACATCGTGACTACCCATCTGAACATCATAAATCTAGATATAAAAACAAGAACAAAAAACATATGCTATTGTAGCGAGGCTATTTCTAGTTATCTCATATTTCGACTCAAGTGAACTATGATTATACTAGTTGTCATAACAACAACAATTTCGAGTAAGAACTTAATTACTATTTCAATGGTACGTTATCTGTTGACATTCTGCAACACCTCTGTCCAGCACTCGTAATTGAATACTATTTGTACAGGATGAGAAATCTTACTCTGTATTTCAGCTGTCGTCAAAAACCAGTTTTTGACCAGTGATTAACGCATGAGCAGTAGAACTTTTCTATCTGGAATATCTAATAAGCGTCACCAATTAAGTTTTGTTTGACTACGAACTTTGAGTCAGAATTTATATATTCTTTACTGAATAAGACTTATATTCTTATTACTCAGTTTGGTTTATAATCAATACTTAAGACATGGTCATCGACGCTTAATAAGTTAATCCATCCAACAAAGAGTTTCTTTAGATTAAGAGTTCACGAGTCAATAAGTCACGTCATGGTCAGATAATGAATATTCACCATTATCATGACGACATCTAGAATAACCAGTTTAGCAAGTTTGGTCATATAAATAGAGCTACCTCTAACTCGAAAGGCCATTCGATCCTGATTTCGATTCTGATTTCATTCAATTCGATTCCATTCAATTCCATTATTAAAGAGAACACATTATACTCAGAAGGATGTAGTTGTACGCTATTCTGTTCTACAATCTATACACAATGTGAAACACACTTGTATATTTGTAACTTGAGTCTAAGTAACGACGAATAAAGATCCCTGGTACGTTCCACCATTTGGTCTATCTGGTTAGTAAGCCAAGCCCCATTACACTATGTTAATACCTTTGAGATATGCATATCGATATTATCCTTAAAACAAACTACTCTTCAGACACGATTAAAATAAAATACTAAAACCTTTTAAAACGTTTCAAACTTGCATAGAGCTCAGTAATGGTCTNTGTAGCGAGGCCATTTCTAGTTATCTCATATTTCGACTCAAGTGAACTATGATTATACTAGTTGTCATAACAACAACAATTTCGAGTAAGAACTTAATTACTATTTCAATGGTACGTTATCTGTTGACATTCTGCAACACCTCTGTCCAGCACTCGTAATTGAATACTATTTGTACAGGATGAGAAATCTTACTCTGTATTTCAGCTGTCGTTAAAAACCAGTTTTTGACCAGTGATTAACGCATGAGCAGTAGAACTTTTCTATCTGGAATATCTAATAAGCGTCACCAATTAAGTTTTGTTTGACTACGAACTTTGAGTCAGAATTTATATATTCTTTACTGAATAAGACTTATATTCTTATTACTCAGTTTGGTTTATAATCAATACTTAAGACATGGTCATCGACGCTTAATAAGTTAATCCATCCAACAAAGAGTTTCTTTAGATTAAGAGTTCACGAGTCAATAAGTCACGTCATGGTCAGATAATGAATATTCACCATTATCATGACGACATCTAGAATAACCAGTTTAGCAAGTTTGGTCATATAAATAGAGCTACCTCTAACTCGAAAGGCCATTCGATCCTGATTTCGATTCTGATTTCATTCAATTCGATTCCATTCAATTCCATTATTAAAGAGAACACATTATACTCAGAAGGATGTAGTTGTACYCTATTCTGTTCTACAATCTATACACAATGTGAAACACACTTGTATATTTGTAACTTGAGTCTAAGTAACGACGAATAAAGATCCCTGGTACGTTCCACCATTTGGTCTATCTGGTTAGTAAGCCAAGCCCCATTACACTATGTTAATACCTTTGAGATATGCATATCGATATTATCCTTAAAACAAACTACTCTTCAGACACGATTAAAATAAAATACTAAAACCTTTTAAAACGTTTCAAACTTGCATAGAGCTCAGTAATGGTCTGACTAGCTCATTTCATAGCTGTTTGACTGTATAACGCTCAGTTCATAATTTTCTGACTGCATGCTCATTTCATCATTGGCTAACTCAGTAAAGCTCAGTACATCTTTGCCTGACTGTATATCTCACTTCATCACTAACTGACTGTATGGCTGAGTTAATCATTGGCTGACTGTATGGCTCAGTTCATCATTGGCTGACTGTATGGCTCAGTTCATTATTGGCTGACTGTATGGCTCAGTTCATCATTGGCTGACTGTATGGCTCAGTTCATTATTGGCTGACTGTATGGCTCAGTTCATTATTGGCTGACTGTATAATTCAAGTTATTACTGGCTGACTGCATAGCTCAGTCCAGTGTATAGTCTAGTTCATCATTTTTTGGCTAACTCTATAGATAGCCTAGATCCTCATTTAGTGAGTATACCACTATTTAGTGTCATTTTTCACTTGGGCATGTATTTCGATTGTATTTTTTTCTTTACTTGTATTTTCAAATTTCGTGAAGTGGTTTCTGAAGATCTTAAAAAAACTCGGCATATGTCTTTTTAATACATTAGTTTACATTGGAGCAACAAATGATTTTTTTGACTCTTTTTTTGATCTTATTGATGCGAAGTACTATGATGATTGGATTGATCAAAGACTGCAGTTGGATAAACATCATTGCAATATTTTGGGCAATGTATTTGAATTGTGGCGTGAAATCCTTTCCTTTGACAGCTTGTGCAATGTTGACAATGATACAGGGAATATACAATATAATGGATAGAAGTACTAAACTGGCCATCGTAAATGCTTGCTTGTTCTCTTGAAATCGACGCCTTTGCTGTTCAGTTTCTTCTTCCTTTTGCGCCTGTTGAGGTGCAGCTGATAGAAATTTGGCTTTCTTTTTAAAATATGCTGTAATACATACTTTGGCGGTACAGTACATGGTCACTAGAGCGTTCCCTGCAATAAAAATGGGAACTGGTACATTTTGAAAGATTTCAGAATTATCGAAGAGAATCCTGAGAGGTAATACTTTTGCTGCCACTAATAACCATAAGCCAGCTGCTATAGTCATGACCCTCTTGGTTGTAACGTGGACTCGATGGAAGATAGGAAGCTCGATAGCGATATATCTCTCCACGCTTGACATCATCCGAGTACTTAATGACATTCCGCTGGAAATTCCAATCACGATGAAAGTGGCGGTGAATATACATTCTGTTTCACAATCTGTCAGTAAACATACCAAATACCAACAGAACAGAGGGTCTCCTACTAACCCAACAACTAGATCAGTCACAGCAAGGGATGCGAGCAAAAGGAAATAACCCTTGGTTCGAAGCTGGTTATCTCGCAAAATTGCCCAGATTATTAAGGCATTAAGAATTACAGTAAATGGAGAGGCGATGGCATAAAGGAATGCAAGAACAGTCCACACAGGCGCTACAGAACTTGGTAGGTCTGCGAAACTGTAATGGTCAAATTGTGGTGTTATCAAACAAGTCGATGTCCTGTTAGCCATGGCAAGAACTAAATGAGGTCTGATGCCTGTTTATGAATTAATTACTTGGTTTTGTGAAAGACAAACAGGATGGAAAGGATTAGATGATTTTCAATGTTATTGAGTTGTGCGTTTATTAATGTTCTGATATCAAAAGCCTATTATTCTCTCCAAGGAAAACAATTTTCAATGGAACTTACACGCAATTACGGTGAAAACGCTTGTTTTATGCATTAGTATCATAACAAATTTAGAACAAGAGTATGGTAAGCCACTGTTTCAACAGTTGACGAAAGTAGTTGCTTTTTTGCATGGTTCTACATTTCCACTTTCGTTTTCAACGTCTTTTTTAATTCAAAGAATGAAATTTTCAATGCAGCTGCCTCCAGAAATCTGCATGGACCAAAATAATGCAACGCTGCGAAGAAGTCTGATTACACTATATCTCCGACTTTCTAAAATAACAGTTATATAACACGATCTGTGATTGGTCAAAAAGTGTGTATTTTATGAGAGTATCAAGCACGCTCGCGCCATTGTTACTTGTGGATTGTACCTTCATGGTGAAAATCAACATTTTGAATAGACCCTTTTTGATAGATAAATAAGCAAGTGAGCTGAATTTGATTATTTCTTGAAGAAAAAGATTATTTTAAAATGGTTATAAAAGAGAACTGATCAATCAATTTTGATTTGAGGAATATAACGGATTTCAGGGTTTGATACTCTGATCAAAACGCGGCACGGGATTGTTGCAGGGAAGTGTCTCCAGTGTTTGAAACAAAAACCCTGAGTAATCCTAACTAAACACATAAACAATCCCCAGATAGTGAAATAAATGATAAAGATAAAAAGTAATTCTAAGTGGCCTCGGTATCAAAGCCACAAAAGTCGTAAAGCTGGTAAATTAAAGCAGTTCTTAGCCTGTTCTTGAAGGTAAAATCTTTCGCAAATGCATACTTAAGACGTAATTCGTTCGTATGTTGTTAATCCCTGTAAAGTTCTGAATTCAAAAATCCTACGAATCAGACTAGTTATACTAATTTAAAAGCTGAAAACGTTATCCACACGTTTAGAAAATACAGTAGAAAACAATACTAACCACCCAATTAACTAATCTTGCTTCCTCATTTTCGGACCATGGCATATGGAACGTATTATTACTCAGATTCCAATTTCTTAGTTTTAAATATCATAAAAACATCATTTTATCATTTAATTATCTATGAAATACTTATATTTCTCCATTTCGTAAAGTTGATATTTTTACTAGTGAAAAAAACACATTCGAGGTTTCTTTATATAGCGGAAGTAAGAAAAAAGGTATTTTACGACATATGTATTATATGATAAACACAATATGACATGGTCACATGGAGATACCAATTTTATTTTTTTGTGTTGAAAATCGTTCGCTACGCTTACTCGTGAGAGATCTTTTCAACACTCGAAGATAAAATCCATATCTCCGCGCTCTCATGTAATATCCTCAATATCTTGTATGTTATTTTAAGCTTATATAAAATACACACAGAAATTATAGTGGGATTCGTGTTGATAGACCTGAACAATGGACAATCAACTCGTAGTAGCTCAAGAGACCGATGGCACCGATGGTCTAATTATTTTAGTAATCAAATAAAATTGAATAAAAGACTAAAAAGGACAACTATATATTTCTCAATATTTGGCAATTTGCGCTTCATTCGATGCTAAATATACCGGCCATAGCTCAGTAGCCAATCATAATGTGTCATTATAATGACCCATGTGAAGGAGATCGACCCTAAATACACATATACTGTCATTTAAAAAAATGCTCACTGTACGAAATTCAAAAAGGTTMTTGATATATATTGACTTGCAATCTTTTTTAGCGAAAAACGAGAAAGACGCGTAACCTCTTTTATTGATAGGCATACTCAAAAATAGAATTTGCAGGTGAAATTGTTTGAAATTTGTTAAGATTTAGAATCTATACCCTCTTTTTCTTTTCGTTGATAAAATTCTATTTGAAAATCGCTTTTTATTATATATTTTGGGGAAAACGTCTGACTAGTTTCTGGAAACAAAGTGAACAAGCGTTTGGCCTTATTTTCACAAAGATGAGTTTTTCTATTGTAACTCGTATGTACATTTAGGCATTGTAAGTAAGTTGAAATACACAATGATTGTCCAATTAGCTAATCCCTTCTTCCTCTCTTTCCAATAAGGGTGATAAGAGTTTGATCGAGTTCTCGGTTTATACTGTTATATCAACATTCAATTGTAGGGAAATGTATGGAAGATTAATTTTTAAAATTAGGGGAAATAAAAATACGTTTCTAAAAACGCACAGAGAATGTATAAGCTTTTAACCGTTTTTTCCATACTACAATTTGAACCACAGACATTATTGCCTTTGTGATATAAACGCTTGTAGAGGAATATCATGTCTGCTTTCCGACAATATAAACCCTAAATGTATTGAATCGACGCAAATTTCTTTTTCTCATCTTAATCATGTGAGAGCTGACAGATACTTAGTTTGTTCATATCCATTATTTGTTGTGAATATAGCAATTATTTGCTGCGCAAAGCTTGCTACTGGCCAAAAGTCGTCTTAAGTCGCCGACTCTCAACATAGGTTGACTTAACGAATATTTGGAAAGGTTCCTTAGGCCTTAAAGGAAAGTTAGGGGGATGATTGTTAGAATTTAACTTTCAAAAACACTTAGTTGTATCAAGCAGCATGTTGATAACGATCTCATGGCGTCTACAATGAAGTAGTAAGCTTTATACAAAACAAACAAATGGAATATACGTACCTTGACGTAATTGGTGTCGCAGTTTGTGTGATTAATATTAAAAGAAAAGACATCAACTGTAATTGTCGTGTAATACCCAGGACCTCGGTCAATCAACCAGTCGCACGTGATTGGTCCCTGACCACTAGGGTATCCAGGGGAACGTATGACACCGTGTGATGACGTTAGATTGACATGACATAGCCCTAGTCAAAAAGAGCATTACTTCAAATTATTAGGAAAACTACTGAAATCAGGAGCCCATTACTAGGAGCCTTCCTCTTCCCATGGACTTGTGGAACGGCATTTACCCCTCTTGGCGCTATTTTTAGATTTTCCCGCCATTCCTCGCGCGCTTATTGAGATGCCGAGTTGTGAAGAGCCGCCGGCCGCTGCTATCAGGTGTTTTTAGATTGAATTTTAAGTTGTACAAGTGAAGAAATTTTCGCTTTTATAAAAACTATTTTGTAACAAAGGTTCAATGGCACCATTAACTATTATATTTAAATGTCTAAAGATAGTGAAAAGGTATAAAAAATAAGCGAAAAAGCTCATACATGAAAGAATCGACATTTCTGGTTTCTTTTACAGACGAATCTGATCAAAAAGCATGGCAGTGAACACAAAATAATCTATTCTTATAATGAGTTCTTCATCTAAAAAATGTGACATCATAAATGTAAAAATTAGCATTTAATGAATTTGTTTGTGACAGTTTTGTACAATATTTTGCATCTAAACAAAAACTCTTCACAAATGAAGTTACCACGGAATTTCGGTGCCTTTTTTCTTGAACAGCCGATAAACAGTCCTCTAAAATGTTGTTGTTTTATGGTCATATAAATTAGTCAACCCAAAAAGAGTTCCATTCAATGTCCATTTGCATGTAACAATATGCAAGCTTAAGTTACTTGCTTCAGTCATGTTCAGTTTACTCAAGTTTGCTCAAGTTGAAAATTTTCCACTTTTGCACAATTTGAACCTTCGTTCCTCGTCTTCAACAGCCATTTGATTTCAAATTCTGGTTATCAGTT